AGACACACACACAGACAGCAGACAGACAGACAGACAGACAGACAGACAGACAGACAGACACACACACAGACAGACAGACAGACAGACAGACAGACAGACAGACAGACAGACAGACAGACAGACAGACAGACAGACAGACAGACAGACACACACACACACACACACACACACACACACACACACACACACACACACACACACACACACACACACACACACACACACACACACACACACACACACACACACACACACACACACACACACACACACACACACACACACACACACACACAGACAGACAGACAGACAGACAGACAGACAGACAGACAGACACACAGACACAAACACACACACACACACACACACACACACACACACACACACACACACACACACACACACACACACACACACACACACACACACAGACAGACAGACAGACAGACAGACAGACAGACAGACAGACAGACAGACAGACACACACACACACACACTTTATTTGGTACAGAAGGTGCAAATGAACATAGTTCTAATATGGAGTTTAAAGCTTTAACGCATCATCAAATACACACAAAAACACAACAAACTGACCTTCAAGGTTTTCAATGACTTCTATGTTGTTCAAGGCCAGATTCAAGTACTCCAGTTTCTTCAGGCGACCCACATTCTCTAGAGGAAAAAATAAGATCCTAAGTAAGATATTGAAATGATAACAACATACAAACATGACCGTGGGATTTGTAAAATTCTGTTTTAACACGGATAGGTTATTTATCAGAAACGTCAATATTTGAACTGAAATACTTAAATTTTTAACCGAAATTCCTCTCTTTTCTAACACCTTGAATCTCTATGTAGACATTTGGGACTTGTTTCCATTTTTATGCATCTCTTTTTAAACATTTGGAGCACGTTTCCAACCCAGATGTCTAGAAAATGAGCTGATGACTCACCGATCGTGGGGATGAGGTTGTTCTGCAGGTAGAGGATCTTCAGCTCTTTGCACCAGCGCTCGATGTGTTCGATCCCCTCCAGGTCCTGCTGGTGGAGAGTCACTTCCTCCAGAGAGAAGATCTCACACTCGTTGTGTTCGGCCCGGCGGCGAATCAGGTCCTCTGTGACTGAAGCACACAACATGTAGAATAAACATAAATAAAAACTAGAGTAAACTCAACAGAACACCAGCAGCGACAGAGGAGTCACTGAGCTCTAAATTAGCATATACTATTATATTACGAACAATGCACACTTTATAGTGTTTGTTTGATAGTCCAACACTTTCATGATCAATCATTATAAAACATATCATATATATTATTCTGAAATGGACCAATCTGCACAATCACTATTTTTACTGTCGCTACTTTCACTATATTTTGATGAGAATACTTTTCTATTTTCACTGTTACTTTTACTGTAACTGAGTATTCCTACACTCTGGCACTTCTACTTTTACTGTCTCTACTTTCACTATATTTTGATGAGAATACTTTTCTACTTTTACTTGAGGAACATTTTGAATGCAGGACTTTTACTGAAACAGAGTATTCCTACACTCTGGTACTTCTACTTTTACTCAAGTACAAGATCTGAGTACTTCTACTTTTACTCAAGTACAAGATCTGAGTACTTCTACTTTTACTCAAGTACAAGATCTGAGTACTTCTACTTTTACTCAAGTACAAGATCTGAGTACTTCTACTTTTACTCAAGTACAAGATCTCCAGTCACTTTTTCGACCTCTTTTTCCACTAAATACAAATACACGTGATATAAATAAATAATGAAAATACAAATTATAAACTCATTCAAACTAGCATGTTAAGTGTTTGTAGCAGTAGCTCCTGTGTTGTTAGCTTGACTTAGCTAGCAGTAAAAGCTACAAACTGTATCTTTAATAACTGCTACTACTACCACTAAAAAGAGCTTCATTAAATAATACATATAAACTACGACTGATGTTGGTTTGAAAGATCATTAGTGAACCAACATTAACATTATCTGAGACTGTTAGCATGAAGCTATTTAAAAAAAGACTCATAATTGACACTAACTGTGTTCTCATCGTCACTAACTTTCAAAACTACACTGCTATCTCGCTTGAAACACATATAAAGTAACACGTATCATCTACAAATCATATATACAAACGTTTAAATGCAGTTTAAAAGTGAAATGCCGTTTTAATTTGTTGATATTTGTTATATATTATATGTTTTAACCATAGGTTTTAACTCACTGTGAACCATCTTGCTCTCTGTCTGTTGTCTGGCGTTGCCGTGGAAACCGAACTGGTGCTGCGTTCGTGTACGGTGGGAAATACAACAACTCCTTCTTCTTCAGATTCAGGCAGGCGCATTATACTAAGTGTAAGGTGCATTACTGCCCCCTATTGTGCTGGAGTGTGGACCGGATATCAAAATAAAGGTTCTTCATTCAAGAAATTAGTTTTCTTTTAATAACGTTTAGTTTGTTTTATAGAATTTCGACTTTTTGTAGAATTTAGTTTTATTTATAGAATTTTGACTTTTTGTAGAATTTAGTTTTTTTTAATAGAATTTTGACTTTTTATAGAATTTCGTTTTTTTATAGAATTTTTATCTGGGTGGACGGGCCGGGGTGAACGGGGGGGGGGGTACACTGTGGACCTCTGTGGTCATGCTATTTGTAGGCAATAGCATAGATCTCAGATATATTAAAATATATAAAAAACATGTCTATGAAGTGTTTT